GTAATTTTAATTAAATAACTTTGGTTTCCATAATTTTGAATATTTTTCCATTTTTTTATTGTCACGTGATATTGTTTTAATTAATAGGTAATTGTCTATTGAAATCATTATTAGTGTAATGTTTTCGGAAGACTATAGACGTAAACTTGAGGAATTCGGTGAAAAAGTCCGTAATATTAGTAAGGACATAAAGTTTTATGAGGATAAAAGTTAAACTATAGAAGAATTGGCAAATTTGAAATTGTGGGATAAAGTATTTGATAAATATCGAAGCCCTGCTCCTCAGTCAATTTACCCTTTAAGACGAATTGAGCCGAAACCATGTTAAATATAAATTTAATAATACAACAATTTTAAACGGTATAATATATACCAATGTGCCAGATGGGGTTGATCATATGTCCGTTTGTTTTGATTTGGAGAACCTAAGACAAGATTGTACGCTTTCAGAATGGAAATTAATGAATTTGTCAATGGTGAATGATGATAATTTGAAAACATTTTCGATAGAAATACTTATGGCTGCAAAAGAGACGCTCAATTACAAATTGAAACCTATATTTGCAGACATGAGTGTAGGAGATATTCAGGCGTGGAAAACTGTTATATTAGGTCAACCTTTACTAGAAATTGATTTAAGACATGTTGGAAAAGAAATACAAAGAAACGATACTACGCAAAATGAATTTTATAAATTATTTGTTCTTACATCTTTTACTTTATCATCAATACTTATTTTATTATTAAAAATGTTAATAAAATATATAAAAAGAAAATTAAATAGTAATAAATGATTGAAAATATGTATTTGTGTTTTAATAAAACGTCATCTATTTTAAATTTCATTTATTAAATAAAAACATAACGTAAATATATTTAATTTTTTAGGTAAAATATTTATGAAACAGTAGCGTAGATGTTCAACATTTTCTTGGGTACAGTGATTTAGATTAAATTATAATTTTTACAACTTCTGTCAACGAGAAGTATTCAACCATAGAATCATGCACTATTATGCAGTAAACCTTAGTATTTGCGGGAAATCCCGTATCACTTTCAATTTCTAGTCTTACATCAACTGCGGATGATTTCATTTTTTCTTCTTGTTTAGAACAATCGATTACAAAGAGAGCATGCTTTTTAAATTCTGTATAATCTAAAAGAGGATGTTTTATTTTGGAATTTGAATAGCTTGAATAGAATTCCGTGTAATCGTGGAATGCCATCATATAATCATCGTTTTTGAAGTCATGCTGTATTCTTTCGTTGGGCCAGTATTCTCCATTTAACGATAACCTTATACTTGAAACATTAGAATCATCAAAGTATATAGCATTAGCCTTTACGTTACTTCGCTTATCCGTTTGAAAACATACAATTACAAAACGGGGTCGTTCTACAGATGCACTAGTCTTGACAGACCAAATTTCTCTTTTAGCACCAGCAGTAATCGCTGGTAATTCATTTAACTCCCACTTCCGAAATGGTTTCAATATAGATCGATCCTTTTTTATAGACTCCATTAATTCTATTTTAATTTCATCGTTTGGAAATATATGTTTTACACGTAATTCTAAACTCTCAATTATTATTTTTGCCGTAGTATCTGTTATACCCCCACCGGCTATAGGCTTTTCTGTTATGATTATATAATCATTATCGTTACGGGCACGAATTAGTCGAAATGTTTGATTTCCACATGTGACTAAAGTATAATCGTTTAAAACATTAAATAGATGATCCATACGCATCACCAAACTAAATTTATTTTGTTTATTCAGATGTGGTTTATTCGGATAATTCCATCCTCCGATGCTCATGTTTTGAATCCTCAGGTTTATAGCACAACAGGGATCATATAGTACTTACTATACCAGTATCACGAACTACTTCTATTTCTTTAGAACTTTCACTGTATGAGTAAGAATCAAAGAGAAATGCTCCAAAATTGGGTGCTAGGGAAACATCTCCCCCACCATTAACATCTAATTTTCCTTTAATGCATAATAACGCGTCACTCATAAGGAAAAATGAATCAACTTGTTTTATAATAATTTCCACTACATCATTGTTATTGAATGATTTGATAAATGGCGTATAAATTCGAGACTACTTTTCTAAAAGATTCGTCAAATTGTGGTTTAGTATCAAACATTTGAAACATAGGATCGATCCTCGATTTTTTATGCACGCGCTCATCTATGTCGTCCAAGGAGCGAATATATTTGCGTTTTGTCATTTTTCAATTTAAATCCTAGAGATTTAAGAAATAATCTATTTGCAGGTGTTAGCTCGCTTCGTTTGGCAGTACGATGTGTTACTGATGAAACTGCGGTAGAATATGGGCTTTTATATTCTATAACTAAACCCATTTAGTATTCTTTTAATTCTAAATGAATAGTACTTTTTTCACCTCGAAAATTTACCGGTCTACGATCTTGGTCGAGTACTTCCACTGTGATATTAGTTATTTCTCTTATACTGCTTACAGGTAAAAAAATAGGTGTATTCGGTCTCTCAATGATTGCGTAACCAGGATCAACAGTAGACGGGAACTCGAGGATAGTGTGAGCAGGATTATTTCCAAAGAAAGCTCCTCTAGTAATGTTACAATCAAAGTGTAAGCTTGTTACTTTTATAATATTTACGGGAAGATCGGAAAAATGTATCTTATTAGGATCAAGTAGTTTCTTAGAAAATCCCAATATATTACCAATGTTATTATCCTTTTCAAAATTAATTGTATGATTTCGGCTATAAATTTCACACTTGAGAGTATTGTTGTTAGGTTTTAAAGTGAAATCTGTATTATCGGTGCTATTAAGTTGTTTCTTTATGTATATTTCAATATCCGATAGTTCATAACAGCCGGTAGGAAAAGTAATTTCTCTCAAAATACTCGTATTATTGTTTTCGTAGTAATAAAACTTTTCTCCTACGACGTTTGGAATTTAATTATAGGAATGAAAGCCTAATACAGCTAAAAAATAATTTTTTTCTGGATTTAATACAATTGGAGTTGTAGGAGTGAAGCAGAATTCTTCAGTCTCACTTGAAAGGGTTAAAAGCTGCGACATGACTGATATATTTTTGAAGGTGTAAGGTCTTAAATAAAACAAAATTTTCCTTTTTAACATATTTATTAAAAAACATTAATTATACAAAAATTTTGATATTGATCATTGTTATAATATATTTTAAATTTATTCATATATTTTACTAATTCTTTCGGTGGTTTTAGATTACCAAATGAATCGAAATATTCAACATTATCATTCATTTTTCTATACGCTACCCAATTTGTACCTTTATTTTTAGATGTATCTAGATTCAAGATTGCGGATTCGTGCTGATGAGGACCCGTCTTTGGTAAATTATCTCGCATAAAAACACCTTTGAAATGAGGTATTTTTAAGTGTTTACCGTACGTTATTAACTCCCTATCATATAAAGGTCTATTGGGTAGCTTTAATGGAAATTTTTTTCGTTTTTTTAAATATAAACCGAATCCACCTTTGGGAAATTTCTTCAGATACAACCCTTTACCTATTGATTCCATTGCTTTGTTATGACGATAATATTCCTGTAATTTCTTGTGAGCATTCTTTGCACCTATTACAGTCCTAGCAATAGCGCTGGCGCCTCCTACAAGGCTCCCCAGGGCTCCTAGGATTGGTAAAAGGGGTAAAAAACCACCTGATTTTGCTTCAAATGGAATTATTCGAGGAATCTTAACATGCTTTTTGCCACCTATTTTTTTAATTGCAAGTCTCGCAGCTTTCAATGCATGTGATGCGGATTTTTTTAAATCTGATGACGGATTTTTTTTAACGACTTTGCAACGTTTTTGATAATATCCCGTTTAAAGGAACAACCCATACCAAGCTTTCTTTTCACCTTCATACCGTTTGTGACAATTAAAGCTGCTGACTTTTCACCAAATTTTGCGTCTTTTGATTTATAGCGTGTCCACGCAATGTCCTCTAATACTCTATCTGCTTTATGACGCTCCTCTAAGGATTTATACTGATCATACGCAATATCGTGTTCTTTGCATGCGGCGTCTAATGGATTAATACCGGAATCTCCGCGTGCAATACGCTTTTGCAGTTTTGTACCTGGCCCACAAAATTCGTAGCCAGGTAGATGTAATTCAAAAGGTAGTTTGTTTATGAGAGTATTTAAAACTCCTTCTCCCTGAAATATCAACATCACAATGATAATTTATCATATAGCTAATTTTATTTATAATGATCATCATTTTAAAAAAAGTATTGCAAGATGAATGTTGTCCAACAAGAACAGACATTACCAATCGATAACTTTGATTTTGAACCCGCAAAAAACGTTCATGGAAAACATGGGAAACTCCTACCGGATTCCTTTCGTGCTGTTATATGTGGTCCTAGCGGATGTGGTAAGACTAATGTAATGCTAGCACTTCTCTTCGACTTAAATGGCGCTAAGTTTAAAAATGTTTATGTATATTCAAAATCTCTGTATCAACCTAAATATCAGTTACTTCAAGAGGTTTTAAGTAACGTAAAAGGAGTTGGATATTTTCCATATAAAGATAATGATGATATTATTAGTCCTTATGAAGCCAAAACTAATTCAATTTTTATATTTGATGATGTCGCATGCGACAAACAAAATAAAATTAAGGAATATTACTCTATGGGTAGACATAAAAATATTGATGTGATCTACCTATGTCAGACATACTCAAGAACTCCGAAACAATTAGTCCGAGACAACTGCAATATAATTATGCTATTTAAAATGGATGAAATCAATTTAAAACACGTATTTGATGAACATGTATCGCCAGATATGAGTTTTGATGAATTCAAAAAGATTTGTTCGCAGTGTTGGACTGACAGGTACGGTACTTTTGTGATTGTAAAAAATTTTGCTCTGAATTGTGGCAGATATCGCAAAGGATTCGATAAGTATATAAAAATGTAGAAACAGTATATTTAATATAATTTTTAATCAAGATGTCCGATAATCAAGTTGCAGCACGTAAAAGAAAAATTGCTGAATTGTCTCGAACGATTAGAAAGAAATACTTAGCTTTAAAACTAGGTAGATCTGAGTTAGATGAAACTTTAAATACATTATTCAAACCTATATCTGAACCACTTCAGCATATTGCAAAGTCATCAAAATCATTATCTCAACATGATAATGTTGAAAAAATTATTAATAAAGACGAACCAGTCGAAATTAAAAAAGAATCATTAGACAATTATAATGATAATTATAATGATAACTATAATGATAATTATAATGATAATAATTATAATGATTATAAAGGTATTACTGAAGAATCAGGAAATGTGTACATAGATCAATATCCTGCAATATCTATTCCATTCATAAACGAATACATGAATAAAAGTAGCAAAATAGACAAAAAATATGGACCCACTTATAATAAGACGTTATCAAAGTGGTTGCTTGGTGGTAAAATAATAAACTTTGATAAAAGAACAGGTCTTATTGAAACAGAGGGAAAACAGATTATTGGTACACCGGGACTATTTCAATTAATATTTTATAATAAACCCGTAGGTTACAATAATGATGATTTAAAAAATTATAAATCTGTTTTAGAAACAACTAATGTTCACAGAGATACTCGAGGACGATTGGCACATAGCTCAAAATATAAAAATATCAAGATTATAAAACCAATGTTCTCACGTCAACGTAATGTTGCAGGTACCGGTATGTCTATGCAATATAATAATTATCCTGTGGAGTATGTTTATTGGGACTCACCCAATGAACTTGCAGATCGTTTAAAACTTTTAGTAGCCTCTCAATCTGCCGGAAATAATTCCCATGACAATGAAATAGTTGCTATAATAAATGAACTCAGGGAAGAATAGAATATTCAAATGATAAATTATTTGATTTAGAGAAAGCAATACATAATAAAATAATATAATATTTATTATCATTTACATGATGAGCTTAAATAAATTTGGTCATAGATCAGGGATATATAATCGTACAGTTCCTAAGCTCACATATGAATTTGTTCACACTACTGACGGTAACATATATATTGAAAATGTAAAAATATGTAACCTACAAAAGCCTACTATTGATACAGATGATTCGAACAAAGGTTATGTTGATATGCAAGATCAAAAATTAAGTGAACACATCAACATTGACTACTAGAATAGAATATCTAAGAGATATAATTCAAAATTTACAACAAGTGAATATTTTGAATGATACAAAAATACATAGGTTCCTCCAAAATCAAGAAGATCGTTTAAAATTACAGGATATAAGAATAGGTGATTTATCTAAGGAATTATTTAAAATGAAAAGTAGTATTAATTCAAATATTTAAGTTAGAATATTCTTTAGAAACTGTTAGTTGATTATGAGCTAATAAAGCAGCAAGATCATGAACTTAATATTTACTTTGTTTTTCTTTGTTAGTAGTTCAATATCCCAAAATATTATATATAATGAATCTGAAACGGTAAATTATTTAAAAAAGTATGGATATATCAAAGATTCATTTAACGCTTTAACTGACTTAAAATCTGCTTTAGTATCTTTTCAAGAACAATACAATTTAATTGTGGATGGTACTGTAAATAATGAAACCCTTCAGTTATTTAAAAAGCCACGATGTCAGCATCCTGAAAACGAATTTAGAATCCACGGTAAATGGAAAGAAAGTAATCTAAAATTGTATTTTCCTAACACTATAAATGACAATGATAAATATAATGTATACTTATCAATAATAAGAAAAGTTTTTAAAATGTGGCAAGACGAATCAAATCTTAAATTTGAAATGGTGAACATATATCATCCTCTTCCTAACATTACCATATTTTTTGCAAAACAGAAGCATCAATATCGTCGAAATTGTCAAGGCATTGAAACTTGTCCATATAATTTTGATGGTCCTGGTAAAATACTTGGTCATAGTTTCTTTCCTTCTAAAGATTCATGCATTGAGATTCATTTGGATATGGAAGAAAATTGGTACGCTGGATTAAGTAAAGCTCCCGAAGGATCGGTCAATTTACTTTCAGTTTTAGCCCATGAAGTAGGACATGCTTTAGGATTAGGACATAGTGATGTTAAATCTGCGACAATGTTTCCCTGGTATCAAGAAGAAGCTAGTGATTTATCGGAAGATGATAAAATGGCTTTGGAATCTCTTTACGGTAGACGTAGAGGTATGCATTATATGCCTATACCAAAGAATTTTAAACCTATAATAAATATTCCAAAATCCATAAACAAGCTCAAACCTGCAACAAATACGTCATCTGATAATGAAAACGCAAGCAAGAAATATGTCGATAATCAAGTTAAAGTATTATCAACAGAATTTATGATTTTTAAGAGCAAAAATATTAATGAAAGAAATAGACACTTTAATTTTATGCAAAACCAAAGTCATTACTTATCATTTCTAAATGATAAAATTACCGAAATCACGAATGTAGAACAAAATTTACAAAAATCAATAAGTTTAGTTTCCATTCAATTAAATAATATTATAAAAGATAATTTTGATTATATGCAAACCAAAGTCATTATTTATCACTTTTAAACGATAGAATAACTGACACCATAAATATGGAGCAAAATTTACAAAAATCAATAATTTTAGATTCTAAAAAAATAAATACTATTATAAAAGAACATTCAGATCGTTTATCATTGCAGGACGAGAGAATTAGAGATATATCAAAAGATTTATTTACATTAAAAAATTGTACAATGCCTAAAATCTTTAATCCGCAACATGACCTCAAAGGAGAGAAAACAAGTAGTTAATGAAATACATGCTCCGGCACGTAAAAATTATCCTAGAAGACGTACAATTATTAAAGGTCTTTTTGATCTCTGGCAAATGGATCTTGCTGAAATGAGACAATACAGTCAGCAAAATAAGGGCTATAAAATGATATTAATCTGTATCGATTGTTTCTCAAAGTTTTTATGGACCCGTCCTCTTAAGTCTAAAACGGGATGAAATTACAAAAAAATTCGCTGAGATTCTCGCTGATGTTAAAAAAAGTCCTAAAAACCTTCAAACGGATCAAGGTACGGAATTTTTTGAAAGAAAATTTCAAAATTTAATGAATAAATATAATATAAATCATTATAATACCTATAGCATTAAAAAATCTGCAATTGCAGAAAGGGTTATAAGAACATTAAAATCAAAATTATATAAATACTTTAGTTTATATGGTACCTATAAATGGATAGATGTATTACCTCAATTTACCAAAGAATATAATGATAGTAAACATAGTAAAATTGGGTATAAACCCTCAGAAGTTAATAAATCTAATGAAAAAAAAAAATTTTACTTCAAAGTTACAGTCATTTGAAAATTGCCGGTTCACGAAAATTTAACGTTGGTGATATTGTTCGAATAAGTAAATCGAAACATATATTTAAAAAGGGATATACTCCAAATTGGACAACAGAATTATTTAAAATTATCACCGTGAAAATCACGAATCCGACTACTTATCTATTGGAAGATATGCAAGGTAGTCAAATAAAAGGAGCTTCTTATACTGAAGAATTACAAAAAGCAACTTATTCCGATGTTTATTTAGTTGAAAAGGTATTACGTCGAAAAGGCAATTTGATGTTCGTTAAATGGTTAGGTTTAGATAAAAAGCATAATAGTTGGATAAAAAATACTGATTTAATATAAAAAATATATGAGAACCATAATCTAATTTCTACACTGTTCCATTTTTAATAATTAATTTTTAATCTAATTATCACGTGAGTGGGAGTTTAGAAATATATATACAACAGAGAATATCCAGCTCCAGTCAGTTATTATAATCATGTCGAGCCAAGAAATATTTAACTTTAACCAGTTTGATGTATCGTCTGACTCCCAGTATAATAGTTTATCGTCAGACTTTCCACCATTCTTCGATGAACCATTTATATCGAATCCATCTACATTATACTGCGGATGTTCATGCCGCATAACACCCCTAATAATAATAATAATATAATAATGTTTATTTACCAGCAATATATATGTTATGGGTTTCTTCTTGTTATTAATTTTTTAAAAACAACACTTAAACTTTTTTTTTAACACATTTATTTAATACTTATTATAACTTAACTTTTACGGCAAAAGGCAAAGCCGGGAATTTAATGTTGAATAATAGTTTAAAGACAGCTATGGCTTCAAGACTACTAATCGCATAAAAGACGCTGTGATCTCTATTGGATCCTATTTATAATATTTTATCTAGTGACGTAGCTAGAGGTTGAAACAATGTTGTCTGGGACGATTAGGGCACCTTGGAATATGCTGAGCTGTTTCCTGTTTACTGGGTTATGTGAGTCATTCTCTATGAATAGAGCCTTGTTGGGTTATGATATAACAACTCTCCCCTTTTTGAGAAAATTGATGTAATACAGCAATTTTCTAAGCCAGGACCTTGGGATGGCTAGAGTTTAATTCGAAGCCTTCATCTTCTTCTATTGGATCATTTAAGTGTATTGAACGTCTTCTTCTTGCAGGAAGAAATCTTCTTAAGTTTATAATTGATGATCGATTTGGAGGCGGTGTTGGTGGATAATTATCAGTATTTGAAGCTAATATACCTATTTGTCTTTGCCTTTTACGTTTACATTTACAATAAAAATACAATAATATAAGACATATAATTATAACAATAGTAAAATAAACAAACCAAGAGATATGTTTGGTAACAAAGGGTTCATTAATTATTTTGTCCAGTTGATCAGAATATTGATCTAACTTATGCTGAGCAATGTTTAAATCATCTACATTAATCTTACTTAATTTTAGCGGCTTTAGTTTAGGCAAATCTTTTTTATTTGGAAAATCTTTACAACATTTATATGGAATTAAAATTGGAAATATTTTATAATTAATTTCATTTTCTGAATTAATTAGAAATTTAGAATTTACACGTGTACTTCCAATAAAAGCATTACATGTGGAATGAAGTTTTAATATTGAGTTTATATTTATAATTTGAGTGGTAACATTGCTATCTTTACAATTAACAGTGACAGGTAAAGGATCTGATAAACTAATTAACCAAGTATTTAATTGAATTTCAAAAACATTATATTCTTTTGCAAAAATTAAAGTTATTGTACAAATTCTAGGTAATTCCATCAATGGTTTTAATATTTGGGCTTCACAAATTGCATTATTATCAATTGGATAAGCATATTGATTATCACATATTTTTAGATTAAAAGAGAGTGGTTTACATTTTTCAAAATCTGAAAGGGGTATATATAACATAGAATCATCATCTCTTGCAATATATTTTTGATTTGTGGCTAAAATGTGATGTAACCCAGTCCTATTGTCCAAAATGGGGATAGGATATAATTGATACACTGTAAATATTTCTGGTTCCACTAAGGGGATTATTAAAACAAAAATTATTTTTGATTCTGTTTGGAATGCTTGTAATTTTATTATATTTAGATATTGAGCTATTGATGACATTCTAATAGGTAATGGTAAATAGTTTTTCTGTAACTCTTGTGAAATATCTTGAAGGGAATCTAATAAATCTGCTGGTCTTATGATTGTACTATGGATTATTTCCAGTTTTGCAAAAACAATAGAATTTAGAATATCATTTATATAGTTTTCTAAATAAGTATAGCTTTCTAACAATTGAGCGCACAATTCTATAGTTTTCAGTTTTGCTTCTACCAATGCAAACTCGTCTGTTAAATCATAAATAGATTTTTCGATACTTTTAATGTCTTCGTTAAATGTTTGTTCATCAACTTTTAATTGTTGTATTGTATTATTAAATTCCTTTATTACAGAGGTTGTTACTAAAATTTGATTTTTCATTAAATT